CTCTTTTCAATAGTCTGACTTGCACTCTTATTCAATGCAACTGTTTAGTAGAACTGTCTGCTAGAGTAAATGATGCCAGGTCTACCAGAGGTAAGTGCTTGCTTGACCTTGCCAGAGTACTTCATTATTCAGTCAACTATTTCAAAGTAACTGTTTAAACTTGTTTAAATTGAGGGGTAAGCAACTTCTAAATTTCCTATAGCAGTTTAAAAAAGAAAAATACTGTACAGTTACCACTTTGTAATTCTCTTGGTAGTTGCAGATGTTTAAGGTATGCACATTAATAAAAACCCTTCCATCACCTCATGTGTGATTAAGTTCATAATGAGTTTGATTTTAATTGTTCTTTTGTTATCTTGCTTTGAACATTCCCTTCTTTTTAGGTAAATTATTTAAAAGTCACAATAAAATTTGATTTTTTTTCAAAATGGAAATGACTTGTTTTGTCTATCTTGAATAAAACTATGCAATTTTAGCCTATTCTGTTAGAAACGAGTGTCATAACTGCAACTTTTAAATAGAAAAAATGTAGCAAGAAGGGACTTAAGCGTAATGATAAAGTTGCACATGAAGAGCAGCAAGGTGACTTAGTTGCTCTTTTAGGTGTGACACTGAGTGATGCCGATGGGAAGCGCAGTTAGAGCAGAGCACGCAGCGTTGTGTCTTAGGGCTTAGGCTGCTGGCAAGGCTGGCTTTGGAGAAAGCCAACTCTTGTGGTGCTGGAGGAACGGGAATGACAGTAATCCTTCTATACAGCAGGCTGACTGGTTTTGGACACAGCCAAACAAAAACCACATTCGGTACCTTAGGTTTAGGACTTTGAGAGGGGTAGGAAAAATGCATTGTATGGCCTTGCTAAGCTTAAATACCCCTTTATACAATGCTGCCCAGTTAAAATCTGAATGGTACCAGTGAGTGATCGCTTCCTTTTAATTGCAACTTATTTTTTTGCATGTTATTTCAGAATTTGACTGTAGTGATGCATGTTCAGTGTCTGGGGCCAAAGAAAGTCAAATGTTAATGTACTTTAAAGTCAACTTTTCATGACTATCTAGTAATGTCCTACAAGGGATATATGCAATGGCACAAGTGAGATACTTCTGATATTTTTCCAACAACTTAGCTGATGTTGGTCAGAGGACAATATAAAACAGTCTGTACTCTTTTGCCATGTGTCTGAGCATTATTTTTCATATATCAAAAGACACATTATATTAACTTTAAAAAATATATAGTTAATATAGATGTAATAAAAGAAAGATGCTTCCAAATTCAAGTGACTGTTAAATTGCTTTGTAATGCTGCACATTTGTTAGAGAACACTGATATTTCATCTATGATGATAGCTGTGAACACTATTCTGTCAGAAAATGCTGGATGTCGGTTAAAGGTACAGTTCCTGAGCAATTTTTTAGAATGAGAAATGCTTCTGTGTCAGTTCAAGGCCTTCTGCTTAGCTATTTCTCTAGTCCTAGCCTGTCCCTAGCTCACTTGTGTCTAGATGCCTTTGTAAGCAAAAATTTTTGTTTTTTCTTCTGGTTGTTGGCCACTGACAGTGTCACATTTGTTTTTCCTAAGCATTTGATCATTTAGGTTGACTATAAGCAGTCACAAGCTTGAGAGAAGATATGACGTTGCTGGTTGTGCTTAAGGAGACAGTTTTTCGAGATGACCACAGTGCAGACTGGTGTGCTTGAAGACCTACGAACTTTTAAGTTAGACCAGGATTCTGCATTGAGGACTCAAGGTGGTTGCTGAAATAGTTGGATAGAGAAGAGGATATTCTGCAGTGAGATCTAGACACCATACTTAACTGCAGGTAAATAACTGAGTCGTAACTGAAGTGTAGGACAAACATTAACATGTGAAGGGAATTCATAGAAAAGTGGTGGGGGAACAAGAAAGGGAGGGTGAGGAACAATTAGTGCAATAGCCCTGTGATGTCAGGGTAGACTGCAATAAGTATGTGGAAATTTCTAGGGTATTCTCAGAAGTTACAAAAGCCTATGATGAAATGATGTTGGATGAAAAGGTGTTGGAGGATAAATAGGAAAAGTTCCTAGAAATGAGTTCTCTAAAAGTTTGTGATCTTGAAGGGTCAATACCTGCAGGAATTCCATTCCTGTAACATTGACAAGGCATAAAAGTAGGCTTATATTTCAGATGTTTCGCTCTGTACTGTGTTATATCTGTTTCATATATTCACTGGATATAACTTTGTTTATAGGAGATACTGTTTTGAGTCCTGGGATAAGCAGTAGAAGTCCTGGAGTGTTTCTCTTACTCGGGAGAATCTTTTTGGAAACAAGCTCTGTAGTCTCTTGAGCTTGACCATCCTTAGACAAAAGCCTTCAAAATACTTTCAGACAGGATTTTGGGGTAAATATGACCCAACCTTGCATGCCTATTTAGGAGGCTGTTCAGCTACAGCAGAGTTGTTTGCCTGCTGAAACAGGGGCTGTCCTGAAAGGTGCCCAAGCAGGTGGCAGTGTGATGGGGGAGAGCTGCAATACCTGTGAGGGGAGAAGCTGTTCTGCATTTCATCGCAAAGATTTCCTGCTCTATTCCACAATTGCTTTTTTTCTTTTCAGTAACAGGAAAAAAACAACAAACACGTAGTATAACACAGCAGCCTAGTTTATTTGGAAATATGTTGAGTTTTACTTTGCTGAAGAGATTCAGTAGGCTTAGAGGAAGGTACAATTGGAGCTATGTGCTGGTAGAATGAGAGCGATCAGTACAAAGAGCAGGTCAGCTCTTGGTCTGGAGACCAAGATTCCTGACAGAATACAGGCAGGTATACTTGTTCCCACCACATCAGAGAAAACAATTGGTTGAATCCACCTTAAAATTCCTATTTCTGCTGCCTCATGTTCTGCCTTGATTCAGACGGTGGTTAACAGGCCAGGATTTGCAGAAACAATTTTGGGTGTTCCAGTTGGCCAGTGTCCCTGTTTGCAGACATCTAAAAATCAGGTCTGCTGAGATGATGCCAGTTGTTCCATATAACCCCCTAAATACTTGGATATTTTCTCTGTTGATTTTACCTGTTTCTCAAAGAGAAGTAGTATTCTGTGACCTCTTGTGCCTCTCTCAGCCTTCAAACTGCTTACTCATGTTTCTAGGATCAGGGAATTTGAAGTCCCTCACTGTATTTGGGAAGAACACAGCTGAGACCTGGCGTCGCTCTAAGGAGTCCCAGGCTTTATGGCTTGGCAGCATCCCTGACTGCTTCCAGGGCAACTGGTCACTCCTTTTGGGCTGAAACCCCAAAGTCAGTTGCCAGAACCTGCCCAAGTAAATCAGAACTAAAGAGTTTCTTAATTAACAACAAAAGCCCAAAAGGGCCTGTTCAGCTGAGCCAGGCAGGAGGTTTTGAAAACTTAGTAACATTGCTGTACATGAATTCCCTCAAGGGCACTGGTGACAGCGCTAACTGTATGAGTGAGATTCATACTTGCTGTGCTTTTTCCATTTTGAGTAAGGGCGGGACTCTGTAGCCTAGTCCTGAGTGCTGAATCCTAGAAACTTCCATCTTTTCTGTTAGTGAGCTCTTCATGCCAGCCTGTGTTCTACTGCTGAATCTCCCCTGACTTCTGTTTTATTCCGCAGAGACTTTAGACTTTCTTATTTATGGGCACTCACACTACTTGGTCATAATAGCTGATGCTGCTGAAGCTTAAGTTCCGTGTTTTACAAGAGTGTTTTTTCCTAACTGCTGTTTCACTTTGCCTTTGTTAATGAAATCCAATATTTGTATCTTTAATTCTCACATCTTAACTGGGTACCAGCAAATCCAAGAGGCTGTTGAATTATCCAAAAGCCAGTGGGCATTTCCTCCCCTCCAGTTTGTATTCTTGTTTAAAAGCTATGCAGTTTTCCTTATAACCCTGTTAATATATGTAGGTGCTATACACTGTCCTACCCATGCCAGGTACAACAGATGGGAACAGCTACAGGATTACAAGTGAACTTCTATCTGGGCAAGGTTGCAATAGCTGTGTATGTCTGTCCAGCTTTTGGATATCTATTTTTGTCCTTTTTCATCTCCAGCGGCTCTGGAGATGAAAATGCTCCTCACTGGATCAGTCCAGTCTTATGGCTTTGTATTTCATACGAGAATACTCTGGTTTACTTGATATCTATCTCATTCAGTCTCAGCAAGGTACTCTCTAATATTACTGTTTATTTATTTTTGGGTTTATATTGATATCCCCTCTTTCCCGCTCCCCCCAATAACAGTGATTTCTCTGTATGTAAGTGCACACTTGCTTAGCTGCCTTCATAAAATGGAGGTTCCTCTTGGAAAACTTTGGAACTTTTTGCTAGCTGTTTATTTCTAAGCCTGAGATTGTTTTCACGTCAGATCATGTTCATTTATTTACTCTTTACACCCATCACAACACATTTATATGGAATACCATCACATAGACATACCACTTGCTGACAGCTGATATAAAGATATTGGGTGTGACAAGACTTAGTCTGCAGAGACCAGAAATGTATTAAATGGTGAAACACAGGTAACTGGTTTCCTTAGTTTTAAGCCCGCTTTGTGTAGTTGGTGACCTTTTTTCTGTCATAAATAGTTACTTTTGGGTTTATTATATCTGCCAGTTTGGATGGCTACAGCATTTCTGTGCTTGTTAGCTTACATATCTCAAAATCATTAAATATGTGATTGATGTTCTAAGTTCTACATGATGTAATGTTGGAGTGCATCATATATTTGTTGATTACTGTAGTTGTGCTTGCTAAAATTTTACTAGTGCAAGCAGTATTTACTTGAATTGGGTAATTCAGAAGTCATATAGGACGTAAGGTATATCTATTTGCAGCATCCTATCACTGATATTCATTCTTTAGGAAGATTGGAAGTGAAACTCTACAGCAAAGTAGTTGAACATCACACTAGTTTGATAAATATCTTGTATACAACATCAGTTACTCTAAATTTACTTTATCTATTGGTTGCATTATATACAGCATAACTACCTGTGGCTTTTGTTTTGAGAAGTAGCCAAAATGGGATATTCCAGCAAATGTCTGAGTGCTGTTTGCCAAGGGGAAAAAGTGTATAACAAATCTTTGTAAAGTGATGACCTCTTTAAAATTGCTGATTTACAGCCTACTTGGTGAAACGTGCCATTTTCTCACTCATTTTTATCACTGGGTGTTTTTTGTGATCTCTATTACAGATCTTTCCTGGTCACTGGATAGCCACTATGTAGGTTTCTTTTGTTTTTAGGCATGCGCATTGTGTGATCCATGCAACAGTGAAGAATCTGCCATCACACAGTCCATGTATTACTGTTGTAACACAGTTGCTCTTGTTGGTTTTCAGGATGCTCATAAAACTCCACACTCTACAGTTTCATTCAATGAAAACATTTGAAAAGAAAACAGACATGGTAGAGAGCCCAGAGCTACATGATGCTGCATTGTGTGGCCCCACAGCAATCTTTAATAATAGCCAAGCCTGCCTTGGCAATGGTGGGCTTGCTTGGAGGAGGTTCTGCCTTCTTTTCTGCTGGCGTACCTGCAAATTTCAAAACAGGACACCATTAAAATCAAGGCTATTTCAAACGATTTCTGCCTACATCTGGCTTACACCAAGAATAAAAGCTTTTCTTCCGGAAAGTTTTTAATGCTAGTTTGAACAAATATATCTAAGTTTGGTAAAAATCAAGGTAGGTGTAGTCAAAGTGCTCTGGAAGACTTAATCCGTTCGGGTGAGTGTTATGAGAGCTTAGAGAACCTATGCATCTTACTGGGATGTAAACATTTGTGCCATGTTCAATGCAGGTGCCCTAGTTGACAGCTGCAGCGTCAGTAACAGGTCCTTCAACAGAAAGCTTATTGTGTTTTAAACCTATTTTTAACAAGTTAAAGGTGAAAAAAGTACTGCTAGAGCTTATGCTCTCATGAACTTGGATGTCCAAATTAGTAGAACAAGATTAAAAAACCTTTGGTCGTGAAAGGAATTTCTCTAGCACTAACGCTGCATTTCATATTACTACCTTTATACACTTACTTTAAGTAAACTAACAAGGGAAGAGATTAATGCTCCCTGTGACTAAAGAATATATTTCAATATAATGTATTGTTAATTATTTATACGCATGAACCTTGGGCTTGAATTTCAGTCATTCCACATACCTCTAGAAACTTTTTAGCAAGACCAGATCAATCCAATCTTGTACTGTGGCAATATGCATATTCAAATGCACTTTGCATATTCAAAACATGCAAAGTGATTTAAAGCGGCCCTAGATTATTTGAATTTAATGTTCAGGAGACTTGGGAATCCAAATTTTAAGTAGCTGGGAGCAAAGTCTGACGCACGTTTTGTTTCAGTGTGATGTTACATTGGCTGTTGATGGGAACAGGGTGCCAGGCCCTATGTGGCTTTTGAAAATGCCTTTCTTTTTTCCAGTGGTTTTTGGAGGTTATTTTTTCTTTTTTTCTTGGGTTTTTTTGAGGGTGTGTAACCTTGCTTTTTTCTTCTTTTGTTTTCTGTTTTAATGATTATGAACTTACTGGTAGGAGACTGGGTTGCTTTGTCTAGGGGTTTTAACTTAGTTCGAAGGAATTCAGCCATCTCCTTGTCTTCTTCTTTCTCTCTAGAGAGAAAAAAAGGAAAATAAATTTGTGACTTTCTCTGCAAATAGCACAGTAAAACCTAGAGTAGTTTGGATCAAATCAGTCAGTAGGAGGAGGAAAAAATAGTTGTTCTTTTAACTACAACTTGCTCCTTATTAGAGCAAAATATATTTGCCCAATGCATTTAATAATAAACCACATAGAATTAAAACAGTGTTTTTTCCCCTCAAGCCTCTTTGGCTGTCTCCATAACACAGAAAAATTTGGGTTTGCTCTATTCCCTGGTCAGGAGATTTTGAACCATGGTGTATCACCTGCTTTAAGCTGCTCTTTCCCCACACTTCCTTGAGGAACTGAAGCAAAGCAGTCGATATGCATGTGCTACCATACTTATTCTTAGAGGTTCCACTTAGCTAAAAGACTGGATATTATGACACTTTTTCGTTCAGCTTTTTCCAAAGCCACATACATTTTTGATTGCACGAAGATGACAGAATTAGGCCCAAAATAAACATTAAATGTTTATAAGCTTGATTGTATCTAATAATGACATTCCCATTAGACACAATTCCCATTGTATCTATAATGAAGTTCCTTTGCCACTTCATACTTAAACATTAACACTGAGCATACAGATGGGGAAAAGTGTTTCAGTTAAGTAGAAGAAAAGGAGATTTCATTAGGAAGAGCTTTAGAGAAAGGTATAAGGTTTTATTACAAATGTGAATGGGCACTAGTGCATTCCCAGCTGCACAGCAGGGCGTCGTGGGCAGCCTCCTGTCAGGCTGCTCTTTGGGTGGCTGCTGCTGAGGCCTTGGGGTTTGCACCTGAAGGTGCCTTTGAGTGCCCTGGATCCTGTTACTAGCTCAGGCTTTCTGCCAGCTGTTGCCTCTGGCAGCTCTTTGATCGGCTGCAGGGCTCTGGCATTCCTCCTCTCCCAGCATTTGCCTGCTTAGAATTTAAGCTTTTTTCAGATAGATATTGTCATTGTGGAGAAATGGATTGGTGGAGTCTTGAAGCATTAATGTTGAAGCAGAAGTAAGGGAAATAATAGCAAGCCCTGACTAACTGTGATCTTAGGATCTTAGGATAACAATTAGTCTTGTGACTATTGGGATCTTGGTACAACAATTAGAAACTGCCTTGGGAATCCACTGGTTCCTCAGTATGCAGCCTGCTCGCGTGGGCTAATATGGAGGTGAAACCATTCTGAACCCACTCATGCTTTAGGCCAGGTAGATCTGTGTTAGTGATTACATGCTCCTCTTTTGAAACCAGCAGGTAGTCTCAAAGATGGGATAAGAGTAATAATAAATCACTAATGTGCTTATTTTTTGTGTAATAAGATCATATTTTAAATGTCTACAAATCTGCCCCTAGTAGAATTCTATTTCACACTTACTACCCATGCCAAGAGGTTCCCCTGGCTGGCAGTAAAAATATATTTTTTAATAACATTAGATGCCCGGTCATTTTCTAGTGAGAAAGTAAGAGATGGTAACCCTTGAATCATGAGCCGATGACAGTTATTTATAGAAGGAGAAGAGTGCAGCAATTTGATGTGCTTTTTTTCCTGTGAAACCAGGCAGAGGCTTTTAACTTGATAAGTTGCTTTAAAGAATTAATCCTCTGCTGTTCATGCTAATGCAAACTCTGTCACTCACTCCAGTAGGTGTAGAACTAGACTTGTGAAATATCTGAATAAATTTGGTTACTTTAACTCTTACCGTAATCTTTCCACCTCCGCATCATCTACAAGAAAATCCCTTTTTTGTACCAGCTTGTGGATTTTCTGAATCAGTTCATCTTCTCTTTGTTTTTCCATCTTTGTTTTTTCTTTTTCTGGTTAAAAATAGGGAAAACAGGCTGTTACTTTGCATTTTAAGTTGCAGAGGGGAAACCTACAAATGTCAAAGAACTGCTTATTTGTAATACCTAGCAAGGCTGCTTTGTTTTGTGCAGCATGTATTCTCTGTGTTTATCTTTTTAGAGGAGGAAAAAACTGTTCAAAAAAGAAGTGGGCGTGATTACTGCCTGCTATGAAGATTTCAGAGCTGCTGCACTGTTACAGTTTCTGGTTTGGAGTAATGCTGGATTTGCAGCAGAGAAATGAAAATGTTTGCCTTGCTGCTCTTGTCTTGCTTTGCCTATTATATCTATGGAGAAAAGAATCTCCTCCTACTACTGAAGGTAGGAGCTACTTCCTACTTCTCTTCCATCTGTCCTCTTCCCAGGTTGAGATGTGCTCTTCTATCCCATCTTTCAGGAAACTGGCTGCTAAATTTGTCCAAAATTGCAACCAAGGTACTGCAGACTGTATTGTAACAGCCTGATTCCTTGTCAGCTGCAGGAAATTAAACACCTATCTCCTGCACCTAGTACAAGGAGTCTCTATGCAAATCTGTAGCCAACAGAAAAGACTGAGTTATCAGTGAGGCCGTTTGGGAAAGTCTTTTCCCATGATGGGCACGTTCTGTGTCAGCGGCCGCTCCCGTGCGGATGCCTGCGGCCTCCGGCTCCTGGTTGCGAGGCCGGTTCTCCGGGCGAAACCTGGTGCTGCTCCCTGCCAGCCCCGCGGGTTGCTGAGCTGCACAGGGTTGGAGAGGGACTCTTATGTGTCCATCTCTCCTTAGGACTTTAATAATGAAAAATGCTCCAACAGTTAATTAAAAAAAATTCAACTCTAAATTAAATATACAGCTAGAGAAGCTGCAGAGTAGAAGAGGTAAGGCAGGGAGGATCATTCACAGATATCCTCTAGCATCCATAATCCTTTACCATTTAACTCAACATTATAAGAATGTAATTAGAAAAAAAAAAAAGGAAAATTATTTATAATACTTTTTAGGTGCAAAGAAACAAGTTCTTATTTGAATAAGGCTGCTGTAAGGACTCTGAGAAGAAAAATGTAGATATTCATTTCCTGTTTCATGACTGAAATGCTCCTCCTCTCTGGGGAGGAAGCCGTTGTTTTAAGTTGCACAGTAATACAGGGAAATAAGATGAAGGTGGCCAAAAGAAGGCGAGTTTATTAGTTTGGCAACAGCAAATTATTTGATGGATGCTGGAAACCATATAGAGTCATCTAGTGTAAATGCAGTTTCCCGGTCTTTTAAGAGGTGCATGTGACCGGCTGTTGTGAATTGCTGTTTTTCCCCCACAGTCTGTGCCAAACACCTTTTCTTACAGTCAGGAGGGACTTGAGGGACTTGTCTTGAGGGACTGGCAAAACAGATGCCCTACAGCAATACTTTGTACACAAAAGTATCAGTGGTGGTGGGGATTACCTCTTCACTCATCTTGCTCTTGCAACAGGCAGAGTGAACTGTGTGATGGGAATTCACACAGCTCTGCCTGGCTGTAAAGTCTGCAGCCTCTTCTAGGTACTGTGCCACTGCAAACTCCTATATGCTCCTATAAACTATGCTGCTCAATGGTTTCAGGAAAGTACGGCTGGCCCCAAGGTACTGTAACTGTCACAGGCCTGTGACTAATATGTCAGCTCAGAGCCTGCAGGAAAAAAGAAAAAATGTCCCTACTGCACTTAGCAGCTCAGCAGGGATTTAACAGGGCACACCCCAAAGGCAAGAAAATGCTCTATTCGATACAAATAGTTATGAGCTTGCTAAATCAATTCATAGCAAGATATATGCCTCACTTTTGAGATCCAGTGGATGTGCTTCTCAATAACATACAAATTAAAAGTGCACTTTTAAGATAAAGTAAAAAATGCAAATACAGGATTAATCTGTTGGAGCTTTCTTATGTACTCCTCTATTTTAATATTCAAGGCAATTCTTATATCTAATTACAGTTTCTCAACTGAAGCTCTGACTGAGAGGAAGCAGTGTTCTCTCCAGTGACATAAGATCACCAGAGACTTTGCATCAAAAAGCTGCTAGGATTGAGTGAGTGGCATGATTCCCTCATCAGACCTGCGGGTGCTGTCTACTCCCCTTTCTACCTTTATCTCTTAAGCTTCCTTTCCTATGATTACTGGAAGTCAAAAGACTATTTTCACAGAGGGAAGTGCACAGCAGTGCTATTTATGGTATTTTGCCCTGCTTGTTCCAAGAGCAAAGATCTGTTTTGTGAAGAGGAGGTTTGAGGCCTCTCTATGCTTTTTATCAGTCTTAGGGGACATTTCTGATAGGGGCAGAGATGCCCCTGACACTCCGCTGTCCCCTGCAGTGTCCAAGCGTTCTCCTGGCGGTGGGTTGGAGGTGGCCATTACCTGGGATCGCTACCAAACTCTGCAGCTCTTTCTTAAGGTTCATAATGTCTTTGCACAGCTGGATGTCATCCATCCTGCAGAAACAGAAAAAATAGCCAGTGATACGCAAGCTCACATCTGCTGTTCATGGGATCAGCCAGACTTCATTCCATTGCACAGTACTGCCCCTTGTTTCAGACCTGTGTGTTCACTTGATATGCAGGAGTTTGAATTATGATTATCTGTATATTCTTCAATTCAGATGTCACTGATGCTATCCCTGTCCACAGATCCTAGAAGTCTTTGTTTGCTAGTCCCATGCCAGTGGGGTAGATTGCCTAGTGCCTGAGTACCTGAAGGTAGCTGAAGAGTGTTCAGAATATGGGTCATGCCAGCTATATTTTGAAGTAGGAGCCTGGAGTGTGTGTATGTGTGAGCAGAGATGCAAAGCAGAACGCAATCACGTGATACAATTAAGTGAGGAGTGGTAAAATAGAATTTCTGGTACAGAAAGAGAAGTGCTTTGGAGCAACCTAAAGAGAACAGGAAGCTGCAGAGTAGAGAAAAAAAAATCCTTTGGGCCCCCTAACTTTCTACAGCAAAGCTGGAAAAACATTTTGAGCTTAATTCTATGGCACTTTGTCCTATAAATCAAATCTATCGAAGTGCAAGATGGGTCAGAGGAAAAGCCACGCTCTTGTCTCACTTATTTAAGGCGCTGCTCGGCCTGCTGTGCAGCGGGGCTGTTCTCTGAGGACAGCAGCACAAGCAGGGGCTGGGCTGTGCTGACCACGCTGGCTTTTCCCCGCTGATAACGGATGATGCAGCGCAGCGAGATGACACCCCCAGGCTTGTTTAAGCTCCCTACAGAGCTACACAAGATGTACGTATAAAGTTTCCAATATATTAACAACCTTCTCTGAACCTTGTGTCCTCTGTAAGGGATGGTGTGTTCTTTCCACTCCCTGTGAAATCATTTTTAATGTTGTAGCAAAATCATTAGTAAGGCGAATAGTGGTTATAGGATGTCAGTTTTCCCTCAGAGCAGAATTTTACATATCTATCCTGCAATCCTAAACTCATGAGTTACCAACATAATAAAATTTTTTTCTTAATGTGAACTCCAATCCATTCCTGGAATAATTGTAGTAGCATTAGTTTAAGGATGCGTTCTCCATATTTTCATGTATTCCTGAATATTCTCCCTGTAATTCTCCATGTAATTCTGTTTTTCTGTTTCATAATTGTTTATTGCAAAAAAACCTTCTGCATTCTTGGAGATATCCAAGCAGCATGTATTATTCTTTTCTCTTTTGGTATTTCAAACAATATTATCAAAACCTAAAAGACCTTATGTTTGCCCAGGGGAGAAAAAAAAAAAAAAAAAAACGAATAAACAGCATGAGCAAAAGTTTTTTCTAAATATGTCACGAAATGACTGGAAAATAAGTGGGTCGGAAGAGGCCACAGTAATCTGGCAGTGACTCAGCCCCCGATATGTCTTTCCTTGGTCCAGTTACCAGGGGAAGATGCTCTGAGCAGAGTCATGCCCGGCAGCGGCGCAAGTGAGGCAGGCAGCCTGCGTCATCCCTGTCGAAACAGCCTGGGCCAGGAGGGAACAGGGCACGGGAATGGGAATGGGTGACACCCTGATCAGCGTGTCCAGGCAGGGCTTGGTGGCCGGAGAAGATCATGTCAGTCAGGGATGAATTGGAAAAGAAACTTTCTGTACTGGATAGAGAGAAGTGTTTTGTTTTGTTTCAATAGAAACTAATTCCAGGGCAGCTAAATACAGGGGGGTTTGTTGTTATTTGTTTGTTTTTCAGTGATTTCAGGACAAGCAGAGAAGTTCAATGTTGCTGGAGAGCTGCTGTCCTTACCAAATGACTTCCACAGCTAGAAACAGATCTGTGCTCCTTCTGGGGTGTCTATGCGAGTGGATTTGAGGTTATTCTGTTTTCTTTGATTGCATTAATGTGCTTGAACTATGCAGGTTAAAAAATAAACTTAGGGTAGTTTTGTAGGTCCTCTTCCTTCTCTTTCAGCAGGTTTGTAGACACTTAAGATTGTTTAGTTCCGTTTCTGCTCCACAAGTGAAAATGCACCTAATTGTTAGTGTTTCTGATGATTTTGGTAGAGCAGGTCTAAGACTCCTGTAAAGGAGGACGTGCTGACCTGCAAATGACCAGTTAATGTGACTGTGGGTATCTGTAGAAAGTCTGCTTGCAGGGATGAGAAGATCATCTTGTCAGTGGCGAGAACAATGTACATGCTGAGCAGCAGCCAAGGGCAACTAGTAGGGATGGAGAAAATTGGGGATGACTAAGTAAAGAGCTGTGTAGAAGAGTGGAGAGGGGAAAAAAAAAAGGAGAATTGCTGCAGACAGAGATGGTGATGATGAGTAGGCAGCCTGCTGATTTTTTAATTTAAGGATAGAGGTAGGGGGATCAGTGGAGTGCACCTTTGGGGACTGCAGGTTTTTTAATCCCTGTCAAAGCTCTGGGGATACTGAAATGGTGAAAGGGTCTTGGGTATAGGAAGAGAGAAAGAGGAAGTTCACTTATGTTCCTCCTTTTACAATTGACCTGTTTTACTTCATTTTGTCCCTGACAACTCATCTTAGTTTCTTAAAACTTCTAATTATAAAGCTGTGAAATCACAGACAACATTTAATGAAGAAGAATATAGTACATGTAGGCTGAGTCACTATGGTGTGTGTTTATCACCTTGTTATTTAGCTCCCCACCTGGTGCTGTTCAGCCTGGAAGACACAGAGCTGGCAATTAAGATAACAGATTGCTGACTAGCCCACTTGGCAGGTCAAGTTACAAATGAAAAGTCCTATGAAAACTTTATCAAAATGAGTGAATCTATATTCTCTTGTTAAGCAGCACTCTCTAATCCTGGAACAGTGGATAGAAACATCGCACTGCAACTGGGTGCAGTAATGCTGTGATTCAGGCACCTCAGTGGTTTGAGGCAATTGAAGATGGCAGGACTTGAAAATCTCAGTCCCTGTAGGTCACATTTAAGGCACATTTCACAGAAATTCAGAACAGTGTCTGAAGCTGTTTGAATTTTATTCTCTCTGACACTGCTAAATTCCCTTGAGCTGGGGCCATCTCTGCCAGTTATGAAGTCTTACTGCCAACTTCAATAGCCACAAGAGAAGGAGCAGTCCTGGAACTATCTCCTTGTGGAGGGGAATATTTCTTTGTTAGGAGAGAAAAGTGGGAACCTCTGCATTAAGCCATGCATTGACTTTAGCATGATTGATAATAAGTTTCCTTCTTAATTTAGCTCCACAGTTAATCTTTTCTTATTTTTCAAACCAAAACAAGAGCAACTAATTTTGTATTAAGATCAGAAAGAATATAAAGGTGTCTAGTATAAAACATTGACAGTCAGTCTATTTTAGCACTTTTCAGTTCACTATTGAACCACAACTGATTATACTGTTGTTTTTGTAGCAGAAAGCGAGGAGAGATACCACTGAAATACCACATGCCAAGAATTACCAGCTCTTACAGCAAACACTTGTCTATAGGGAAATGAATATGTAAAAGGATTGTTGGGAGTACTGTATGGGCACAATACATTACAGACACACTAGCTTGGCTACATGGTCTCATGGGAAACCACTAATTCTGTTCTCCACTTGGGCAAACTGGACCACGAGTAGCTGCAAATGGTGAAAGCAAAAATCGTTTGAGGCAAAAATAGCCCTTAAATCACAGCCCTTAATGAACCATTCCTTGCAGAAGACACCCAAGGCTGTAGCCGTGGGACAGAGGGGTACCCCATCTCCCTCATAAAGTCAGGCTTGGTATTTTTGCTAATGATATCTTATCTTTGTCACTGTTTTTCTTGTTTCTCCAAAAGAGCATCCCCTCATTTAACTCCAAACAATCCAACAGGGAACAATATCAGGCTGACAATCTGACACATGAGTTATTTATTAAAAAACATATATCATCACACAACTGCATCCCTACAGCATCTCACAGTGTTTCAGCGGTCCAAGAGCAAGATGCAATCTGCCAAACAGGAAGGAATTCACTGTAACTTATATTGCCTTTTTTTTTTTCCTAGAAAATCATAGCACTTTGGAGGGTGAAAGATTTATTGTTCCTTCCCATGAAAAGACAGCCCTTATCAGAAAACAGAGGCAACAACAATGACTCTATTCATACATATCTTCTTTTGTTGGTTTTATTTCTTAGCACTGTACTAGCAGCTAGGTATACTAACTTTGTGTATTCTAAGTTTCTCACTGTTGCCACCCATGGCATGAAGCCACTGAGAAGTCACAGCTGATGCTACATCATAAGCCAATTGAAACAGGGCTAAAGTATTTAGATAGAAATTAATTAAAATTTATACAATGATCACTGTGGCTTTCGGAATGGAAAACAGTCCACTTGAGCAGTCTGCTTCTCCACTTCTTGTGTGGCTCAATCTTGCCTCATTTTGCAGCATCTATATAAAGCCAAGCAAGCAGCAGGTGGAACATTTTGTATTTTAAATGTTCTCTGCATGCTGCAAAGCACATACAGGTAAGAACCCTATTTGATATCTTTTGATGTTAGTGTTATTGACCCTAAAATGAATTTTGATTGTTATTTTTTTCTCCATCAGGAATTTGCCCTCAATTTTAGACCACTACTATGTCCAGAACCTTAGAGACTAGTGACGATTACTGACTATTCCATCTCTTCTGCAGCTAGCAATGGGGGTATAAATGCTATAACGGCAAAATAATCATTTCATTTTCATTATCATTATCTTAAAAATCATCATTATTATCTTAAAAAAATAAAGAAAAAGTAAACCTGACTAGAAGCAACAAAAAAACGGGGATTAACTATGTGCCCTGGCCAGGTAATAAAGGTGTGGGACTGCTAAGACCCTTTCTGTCTGTCTGTCTGTCTTTTTTTAAACTAGGGTAAAGGCAAGTTGCAGTAAGCTCATCTACATAAAAGCTAATTGTTCCTGGGATTACAAGTAAGAAAACATAATAGTACAAAATTTTCTGAAAACCAGAATGTATCTATGGAGAATTTGGATGATTGTAGATATTATGAGCACCATGGAG